TGAACATTTTTAATGACAGAGATTAACTTAAACATAGTTGCATACAGCAGAGAAAAAAAAAAAAAAAGGGCGAAGAAGTAAGAATGGTATACATATACATACATATGTAATAAACAGTTACGTCATCATTCATCACCGCGCGGATAAACGCGAACGGCGCATGCGTCAGGAGAAGCTCTCTTAAGCTAAACGTCGTATTATAATTTATGATACAACAATCCCCCTTTCGACGTTTGGCGGCTGAAAAAAAAATAAACATTAATCATTTACAGTTATTCCAATTAATTTACATCACTTAGAATGTTTCGAAGCAGATTAAAATGTTTTTGTCAGTACATCTGCAGGCATTTTCTCTGTTGGCATGTATTTAACATCTATTTCATTTCTTTCATAAATTTCACGTATGAAATGATGTCTAATATCTATGTGTTTAGTGCCTTGAGTGGATAAACAGCAGTTTTTCATAAGCTTCTGTGCACCTTGATTTATCACAATATATAATGGTTGGATAATCATCATTAAAATTTAATTCTTTAAGAAAACGACGTAAATAAACTGCTTCTTTAACCACTTTGTAAAAGACTGATGTACTCTGCTTCAGTACTTGATAATGCAACAGGTTTGTTGCTTTTCGTGATTCCCATGTTATTGGATTTCCAGCTAGCTTGAATAGGTAACCTGTATACGAAATTTTCTAGTATTAACATCAGACGCCCAGTCGGCATCGGTATATCCAATAAGTGCTTTTCCAGTCTTTCGAAATTTTAAACAATAATTTTTAGTTCCTTTTAAGTATCGAAGAACGCGCTTTGCAGCCAACCAGTGTAATTTTCCAGGATTGTTATTAAATTGGCTCCAGGTGACTGACGGCATATGTAATATCCGGCCTAGTAAACACAGATAAGATACATAAGCGAACCAATTAGACGGCGATAAGGTGCGTTGTTCATTTCTTCCTTTTCAGTTTCAGAAGGACATATTTCTTTACTTAATTTTACACTAGGATCTAAAGGAGTTGCTACTGGTTTTGCATCTTGCATATTAAACCTTCGTAGAATATTATCAACATATTTCTGCTGAGATAAACTAATAGAATTATTATTTACATCTTGATTAAATTCTATTCCAAAGATAATAATGAAGTTTGCCTAAATCTTTTAACCTGAAATTCTTTAGAAGATAACCTTTAAGTTCAGCATATAAATCACAGCTATTTGTTGCTATTATTAAGTCATCAACATATAAAATTAGAATTAACTTCATCTTGAGATGTTTTCATTCCTGTATACACACTTATCTGATTGTAATGGTTGTAATCCAAAGTTTTTTGAGTTTTTTGTCTAATTTTTCATACCACTGTCTTCCACTTTGTTTCAAACCATAAAGAGACTTTTGCAAAGCATAAACATAATCAGGATTATTTTGGTCTTCAAAACCTTTAGCTTGTTCCATGAAAATTTCTTCTTTTAAATCTCCGTTAACATAAGCCATAAAAAAATCTAGTTGATATAACATAAGGTCTTGTTCAGCACTGTATGCAATCACAGTTCTTATAGAACTTGCTCTGGCTACTGGAGCAAAGGTTTCATTAAAATCAATTCCAGGTTCCTGTGCAAATCCTCTAGCAACCAATCGAGCTTTTCTCTTTCGAACTGTTCCATCTGCATTATATTTCGTTCTAAGAACCCAGCGACATCCTATTACCTTTTTGTTGTGTGGTCGGTCGCTTTACTAATTTCCATGCACCATTTTTAACAAGTGCTTCATACTCACTTTGCATAGCCTTATGCCATTCTTCAGCATAACTTCCATTTAATGCTTCTTCTAATGTCGGATTTGTATCTTCTTCAGCAATTTGTGCTTCTTCCTTTTCTATGTTTATATTGTGGTACTCCTTTTTTGGTCTTCCTGGCTTCCCAGTCTTGATTGTCTTTGGACGACCTGGCCCCCTTTTAATCTGCATTTCAGGTATTGCTTCGGAATCAGAATCTTCATTATCAGATGATTCAGCAGATGCTTCTGCCATATTTGAGGGGTCTTCAGTTATTTCATCAGCCGATATTTGCTTTACATTCAGAGGTTCTTCCTTCTTTCTATCAGGAATATTTTCGAGAAATAAAACTTCTAAATCTTTATCATAATTAGTACAGTTTTCAAATTCATCAATGAATCTAACATCTCGGCTTATAACAATTTTTCTGGAATTTTTATTCCACAGCCTGTACGCTTTCCATTCATTTGAGTATCCTACAAATATACTCGTATGTTCTTCTGATCGAGGATCGCATTTCCCTTTAGACCTTTTATTAAGTACAAAACATTTCTGTCCGAATACTTTGAAGTGAGATACAGTTGGCTTGATGCCAAAAAATAACTCATAATGGTGTTTTGTTTACTCCCGGGCTTCGATTCGGACAACGATTACGAATATAAACAGCACAGTTCAAGGCTTCAGCCCAAAAGGATTGGGGAAGATTACTTTGTTGTAACAAACATCTGCCATTTCAGTTAAGTGCGGTTCATGCGTTCAGCTCTCGAATTCTGTTGAGGAGTCATTGGTGCTGAGAATTCTCGTTTAATCCCGCATTCTTGAATATATTTATTAAATTCTTCTCCGCGATATTCGAGACCGTTATCAGTCCGAAGGATTTTATTTTTTCTTCCTAGACGATTTTCGACCGCAGCTTTGTATTTAATGAATGCATTTTTCACTTCATCTTTAGTTTTAAGAAAACTGACTTTGACATAACGCGATTTGTCGTCTATGAAAGTAACAAAATAACGCGAACCAGCATGGGATGGGACTCTCATAGGTCCACACAAATCTGAGTGAATCAAGTTCAGTAATTCATTACTTTGAAATTTTGATTCTTTTTGAAAAGGTTGCACAGTTTGTTTACCTCGGATACAGACTTTGCAGTCTTTTAGAGATTCAGTGTTATTAAAATTTAAATTTCTAACCATGTTATCAGACTTAAGTCTTTTCAAATCAGACTCATTTAAATGACCTAATTTAAGATGCCACACTTTACAAAATCACTTACCTGTGCTATTGCAGCTGTTTTCAGCGCTTGGATGTATATAATAAAAGATCACCATGACGAATAGCCTGCACTAGTATAGATCCATTTGGTTCTATTATTCTAGCATGTCGTTCTGTAAAAAATCACTGAACGATTATTTGCAGTAGCTTTAGATCTTGACAGCAAATTACATTTTAATTCCGGAACACATAACACATTTTTGAGTGTAAGTTTAATTGTCTTATTTCCGTTAGGTACTGTTCCGATAAGGACAGTTCCAATTCCTGTAATTTTTTGATGTTTTGTCAACTGCTAACTTTATGGTTGAATTCAGTTCGAGGGTGAAATTCTGAAAATAAACCTTTGCTTCATTGCACATGTGAGATGTACAGCCACTATCTAAGCACCATGAGGAAGGTCTTCTGATAAGCATTGTTTACTGCTAAACTAATCTGCTCTTCATAATTAGAAGCCATCATAGAACCTTGATTTCCCCTATTTGATTGTGCATATTTTCTATCAGCTATTTTCTTTCTGCATTCAGATGCCTTGTGCCCAATTTTCGAACAGTAATTACACTTCAAGTTTCGAAAATTTCTTTCAGCTGGAAAATTTTTGTTTGAATTTACCTTCCATTTTTCATTTTTCTTCTGTTCTTGATTTCTTCTTTTATAATCAGTATAGTATGCATTCTGTGAATCTTGAGACGTTTTCCCTTTTCTTGCTTCCCATTCTTCTAACATTTTGATTTTCAAAGATTCGGGACTAGGTAACTGATCTCTTGATTCGATGGCGCATCTAAAATTTTCAAAAGTTTTCTGGAATATTGTAGAGCAGAAGAATCGATAATAAATCATCAGCTATGTCAATTTCCATTTGTTTAAGCTTATCAACTTTTTCGAAGAAATTATTCAAATGTTCAGACATTCGTTTCGCTTTCCACCATTTTTCTAAATAAAAGCTGTTTTAATAATGTAGTCCCTTCTTCGCAGGTCCTTTCGATTCATATACGGCTTTGAGTTTATTCCACACAGCATTTGATGTCACACAATGCTTTATATGACACACAGTTCACACTAGGATTAATAGCAGGAATTATATCTGCGCGAGCTTTTTGATCAGCTTGGAGCCATTTCTTTTCGTCTTCGGTTCCTTCAGCAGGTTTTAGCACTTTACCGGTTTACATAATCCCAATGGTCGTTTTTAATCAATACTGCTTCTATTTGTAATTTCCAACTGTCAAAATTATCTTTTCCGAGCTTATCTATAGTAGTCAAATGCGACATAATGTAATACAGTCTCTCACAGCCAAAAACCAAGATTGAGCGCTATAAAAATAGGCTTAACTGAACGCTGATCAGTTCTTACCGTTGATTAGACGTAACAGTTCTTGCACTGAATTAAGAGTTCAATGCTCGAAAACTTCAAAATGTTCATTTTAAAATAGGTATTTTGTTAATTAAGCACAGTTGAAACGTTCCTGGGCCCATAACCATTGAAGAAATAAATGAGCCTAAATAGATTGTAATATCAATGAACATTTTTAATGACAGAGATTAACTTAAACATAGTTGCATACAGCAGAGAAAAAGGGCGAAGAAGTAAGAATGGTATACATATACATACATACGTAATAAACAGTTACGTCATCATTCATCACCGCGCGGATAAACGCGAACGGCGCATGCGTCAGGAGAAGCTCTCTTAAGCTAAACGTCGTATTATAATTTATGATACAACATGTTTACATTTCCCTTATTTTAAAGATCCAGATGATATTTTAAAGTCTGAGTAATGAAGTATTGCAGAATTTCGAATAAAATTTAGATCAATTCAAATTGCAAATAAATACAACTGAGCTGCTCAAACTTTAGGGATCCTTTAATGATATAAATCTTTACCATTTTTATTTCTATCTTTTATGGTACTCGTCAAAGCATTTCAGCTTAGTATTTTATATTTGTTATGTTTCTTTAGCCTTGCTGGACGTTATCTGTTCATCTGGGACAACTACTTGTGCAGTGAAAAGTCTAGTCGAGTTCTTAACAAAGTAAGAATAAAATGCAAAATATCTCCAAATAATAATAATAAAATATTTTTATATGTAGTTCATCTGGATGTCTAAAGAATTATTTGATAATATAAAATTTTAAGTTATTATCACGATGTAGTATTTTATGCTGTATGGCTTCTAGAAATTACAGTTGAGGTCATGAATTTCTACGCCATTTTTTGTTATGAATAGCTATGTTTAGTACTTTGATAAAATTTCAGCAAAAGAAAATAAATAGTTGGTCATTAACTTTTTATTTTTAAAAATATAATTATTTTTATCTAAATAATCTAAGTTTTAAATGTTTTTTTAAACTTAATTTCATTTTTAAAACTTAATGCTCAATATAAAAATCTTCCTTAAAGAATAACCAGCTATGAATTGTTTTTAGAATAAAGTAATATGAAACCTAACAAGTCTAAACGTGCAGCAGTTGATGTATGTTAATGATTAATTAGTTATGCATAATATATAAATTTAGGATATCTAACATATTTTAGCAGCTACAAACTGTTATTTCAGATAGAAAGAATTTCAGCAATCATTATATACTTCCGAGCCCAAACAATCGAATTAAACTGTGATGTTGTAGCTATAACCTAAAATTAAACAGATGATTGTCCTTATTGACGAGGTGTAGAGTCATTAGGTGTCATTAGGTTTATCGATGCAGGGAATGTAAAAAATATACATTACGCTCACAGGACCTCCCGATTTCTAGTCGGACCTGCTATCCAGTTGCATCACAAAAGCACGCGTTAAGGAGAGAAAAAATACCTTATTATGCTTCAATACTACTAAAGGTAAGGTAACACAATTTGAAAAATTAATTTTTCATTTGCATTATTATTGGTTCATAGTAATTACAGCGACTTAAATTTCGCTGTTAAATATTATCTTTAGTGTTAATGAGGCATCATAAAATCTCCCATATGGTAATTGTACAAAGTCGCTAGAAGAAGCTATTAATGAGGTTCTTCACAGAAGCTTTCTCACGGATTATTTTAGCACGGATAATTCGTTTCATAGAATGATTAGGGCTGAAGCTTCGTTAAATTATGTTGATAATCCAGATCCTCCATTCACTATGTCAGAAATTAATAGTGTTATAGAAAACCTTAAATGTAATAAAGCTCCTGGTCTTGATTCTATTTCAAACGAAATTTTGAAGGAAGTTCATAGAATGTTTCCAAATTTATTCTCCAAAATCTTCAATACTTGTCTGAAGCTTGGTTCATTTCCTCGTTGCTGGAAAAGAGGGAATGTTTTAATCCCTAAGAATAGTGGTCCTAGTATTTAGATAACTTGAGATGCATTAGTCTTCTTCCCAGTTTAGGAAAATGCCTTTTTTAATAGAATTACCTGGTTTTTGCACAATAAAAAACTGCTAAACAAAGCACAGTTTGGTTTTACCACTCATAAGAGTTGTGAAGATGCTCTTTTGTACTTAAACGACATAGTGGACGAAGATAATAAGAGAAATTTACACAGAGTTTTAGTGTTCCTTTGACATCTAAGGTGCTTTCGACCACGCCTGGTGGCCTGAGATACTTGTTTTTTTTTTTTTAAAGGATAGCTGGTATTCCGTGTAATATTTTCCGCCTTAATTAACGATTTTCTGCATGACAGATCTGCATTGCTCTCTCTTAGCTATGTTTCTTCCTCTTGCATTTTGGAAAGAGGTTGCCCTCAAGGCTCGGTTTCCGACCTTTACTGTGGAATTTAATTATGAATGATCTACTCAATAGACTCTCACATTGTCCGAGTTGTAAAACAATTGCTTTTGCTGATGATCTACTAATTTGCTTTCAGAGAAGTGTCCCATTACTCTCTTTAATACGTCTCAGAACACCCTTAATATTATTTCCAATTGGTCCAGAGAACATAAATTGGAATTTAATCCCAATAAATCTAACATTATGATAATTAAAAGAAAGCATGTCAGCTATACAAACCAACATTTGTACTTGGATAATACCTTACTCGAAACGGTGAATGAAATTAAATATTTAGGCGTTATTCTTGATCATAAGTTTTGTTGGAAAAATCAGATTACGTATTTATCCGATAAGTATCAAAATATACTTAGAGGACTTATTCCCGTATACTTCACAGAATTCAAAGAAGAATTTTACTAAGAGTTGTGCGTGGCTACAGATCAATTAGCTATGAAGCCTCTTTCGCAATTTCAGGATTTCCTCCGATTGACTTTCATAAAATATTTAAAGATACCATCAGCAAATTTATGTTCGATACCAAGGCGTTGTTTGAAGATCTTATTCATCCTGCCAATCGTTTGCCAATTCAAACTATCATTTATGACAATTCTGTTGATGATAATTTCCCTGTTGTGTGTTATACAGATGGCAGTAAAATTAATAATCGAGTTGGATTAGCTTATGTTGTTTTCCATTATAGTTCTGAACTGGAATACAAGCTATTTAGAATTCCCAATGAATGCAATGTTTTCCAAGCCGAACTACTGTGCATTAGTGAGTCAATTAAATGGATATCTAACAACGGTTCACTAAGTGCTAAATTTCTTATTCGCACTGATTCGCTTTCATACTTATATTCTCTTAAGAATATCTTCTCATGTAATAAATTAATTGTCTCTTCTCATGCCCTTCTTAAAGACCTTAATAATAAAGGTGTTGATGTTATCTTTTCTCATGTACGTGGCCACACTGGCAATCTAGGAAATGAAAGGGCTGGTTGATTGGAAAAACAAGCTACACATCTTCAAGTAATTACTCCAATGATACTTCCTAAGTCATTTTACAAGAACAAAAGTAGGGATGATACAATACTCGAGTGGAATGAACTATACAGGAATTCTACTACTGCCTCTTTGACTAAACTATATTTTCCTTCCTTTCCTCACAGATTGAATAATAAACACTTTTTATGCAATTTTGAAGTTACTCAATTTCTAACTGGACATGGTAAATTCAATTCATATCTGAAGAGATTTAGATTATCTAGTACAGACTTGTGTTCATGCAGTTTCGGGGGAGTGCAAAAAGTCGAGCATTTGTTGTTCTATTGTTCAAAGCTCAAGGAAGGATGAAAAGAACTCATTTCTAGGTTAAACTCTGTGAATATTACATTCCCTCCCCCTCTTCACGTATTTGTCCAATATAAAATGGCTTTCTCTTTCTACTGTAAATTTATTTCTTATGTGTCATCTGTGAATTTGTAAGTTTATTTTACTTTGTGTTGTCTTGTTGTATTTGTTTGTTTTTTTACTTATCTCTGTGAGTCTTGTGTGGTGCACAAGGAATTTAAAATTTTCAATTAAAAAAAGTAGAAATTTGAAAGAAAGTAAAACGTAGATGAGAAACTGTAGTTAGATCCAATAGCAAATTGATAAATTCAACGATGAAAAGTGCAGTTCAGTCAAAAAGAAAGAAAGAAAGAAAAATCAGTAAAGAAAAACTTTTCCTAAACCATAAAAATATGAAATATAGAACCATAGAAATATAAACCATAGAAAATCCTAAACTCTATAAATTTTCTAACATGAACTGTTCTTTTTGTTATTTTTAACCCAAAGGACGTTTACCCAGAAAGACTATTAATTCTGAAATGAAGTCTGAATCACTTTCCAAATTTTTGCCACCAAATATTAGAGCCTTGTATTATATTTAAAGAAATTAAATAGTGAAGAATCTGCATAAATGTACGTATGTTTCTCGCATTGTGATAAAACAACAGTACCTAAAGCCATCAAATTTTGAATAACGTACGTCTCCACCCGGATATGGGCATCTGGAAGTCCAAATTTGGAATTTGTTTTATTACCTATTTCATATTTTGTAAAGCATTTATGAGTTTCTTACTAAGAAACTCGGTGATTTCAAAGCGAGCAATGGCAACCACTTTGTACGGGAAAAAATACTTTTCATTTTTTATCTCCAGCGCGCACTACTATGTATCGGAAAATCTAAAGATATACGCTTTTTAAATTATTTTGCGATATTGCTGTTGAATTGAATTTTACGGTTTAAGTGGGAAGAAGGTGATATTTAATAAATAAAGGTAAGACACAAAATGTTAAATAAAAGCCTCTTTGAGCGGAATATAAAATCTGAAATCTTTCAGATTTTTTTAAAATTTAATCTTTTTTGAATTTAGATCTTGAACTAAAAAAGTTAATATTTTAATTAAACCACAAAAAACCTTTTTTTGCTACTTAATATAAATAATTTGAAGAAATATTTTTGTTTTAAAGGAGCCTTACGTAACTATCTTTTAAAAGCATTAACTTATATTATTTTATCGTCAACATTATAACTCTTCGAAATACTACGTAAATAAAAAACAGAAAAAACTAAAACACTAGCATTCTGTAAGATAACTTCACGTCAAATAGGTTTAGGTATCACCGAAATGATCATAATCACGGTGATCTTAATGAATGCTTCTGTTGAACATCAATAAAACTAATCTTCCAAAAGTTTTGAATAAAAACGGTTTGATGTTTCTAGAGTTAGGATTTGAAAAACTCAGATGGCCAAAAAGGCGTGAAGATACTATAGTTTTACATACGACTTTACATATAAAATATCGCAAACAATTTCACACAATTTTATTTTAGGTTTTATTTATATCTTTATACGCCACGAATTTTGGATACTTTTCAGTTCGTGGGATTTGAGGTTTCGAATGCTTCACCTCTAGTTGAAAAAAGTCAAGAAAATAATGCGAGTCAGAACAAATCTATATTATAAATTCCATTTCATATATAGCATTCATTGTGCAGCATATAATAAATCCCATCATGAACCATATACAACTCTACTAATTGGTTATCGTGTAATCTTTGGTACGAATATTTGATCTCTAGAGTCATATACCCCTAGGAGAGTGAGATCAAATTTTCCCAGTATATTATATCAGAAATATCAACCTTTCATTCTATCTCATTCCTATAATGCATAAACATCCTTTTCGTTGAGAATCTGGTAATAACAAAACCATTCACATTAAAACGA